GGGGGGGGGGGGGGGGGGGGGGGGGGGGGGGGGGGTTGATTTCTTCCGGGTACAGCTTCATTTTGCTTACTTCAATAATTTGAATGGTCCTTCCCATTGGCGTGTTCGTAATTGGGGGCGATAGTTGACGAGGGGAGTCGTCTTCAAAGTAGCCACAGCTGCGTGGGGTGGGGTGGTGTTTTGTTAGAGATGACAATTACCGACAAATTATGTAGACAAAGTGGTCCCTGGGCAGCGGCAGACTCTTGGTCACTCAACTCTGCGCTGGAGCTGTGGAAAGAGAGCGCAGTGTCTGAAGTGTAAATTTATATTTTTACCGTACGAAAGCTCACGTTCTCTATTTCTCTCTCTTTCTTGCACTCTTCCCCCGCACAGCTGTTACTCCTTACTGGAAACGAAGCCAACGTAGGCAATTACACAAAGATGGCGTCCTCGCCGACACCATCGTTGGACTCGATGCGGGGCGGCGCGAACTCGATTGAGTCGTACGAGCACGCCGGCTATCTATCAGACTCACCGCTCACCCTGAGCGGCTCATCGCCACCGGCAAGCGACTCAGCGATCTGCAGCGACGAGTACACCAGCGTCGGCAGCAGCAGCAGTGTCGGTGGCAAGACACGATCGGATGTGACCGTCATCAATGGCCATCATCCCATATCGGCCTCCGTCTCGTCCAGCTCGTCGGCCAGCTCGTCCTCCTGCTCGTCCTCATCCTCGTCGAGCTCCTCGTCATCGTCCTCATCCAGCTCATCGACCAGCGGCCTGAGCGGGTGCGGCAGCACCAGCAGTAGCGTCATCAGCGCCAACAATGTATCCTCGAACGGACCCGGCGTCATTGGCAGCAATCTTCAAAGCTCCGTCAGCGGCAGCACCTCAGGCATCAGCAGTCTGGTCGTGGGCGCCGGCAAAGGCAGCTCCAGCAATGGTGGCGCCTCCTCCAACACATCCAACGGCAGCAGCAACGGCAGTGGCAACAACAACGGCAGCTCCCCGCCCCGTTGCACCGCCTGCAAGAGCAAGTGCAGCGACGCGGTGGCCAAATGCTTTGACTGCCAGAGCTTTCTGTGCGCAAACTGTGTGACTGCCCACGAGTTCATGCACTGCTTCAACGGCCACAATGTGTGCCTCATTAAAGGGTTCGATGCGACTGCCACGAACCTGCCGCTGGCTGTCAGCCCGCCCAGCAACAACCCGGCCTCCAATGACTTCAAGTACGCCAGCTCCCTGACCATGATGCTGCAACAGCAGCAACAGCTTGACTCCCAGCAGCAGCAACAACAACAGCAGCAACAGCAGCAGCAACAGCAACAGCAGCAGCAGCTACTGCCCACCCAGCCCATGTCGCAGCTGTCCAAAATCGTTCTTGCTGCCGCCGCTCAGGCCAACTCCCAGGATCATCAGCAGCAGCAACAGCAGCAACAGCAGCAACACCAGCAACAGCAACAGCAACAGCAACAACATCAACAGGAGAGCATCTATAGCTCTGTGCACCAGCAGCGGCAGCTCTTTTGTCCGCGCCACAAGCAGGAGCTGCTCAAGTTCAGCTGCCGCACCTGCTGCATTCTGGTGTGCAAGGAGTGCATCGTCCTGGAGCACTCCACCGGCCTGCATGAGTTGGAAAATGTGCAGTCACCAGCCCTGGCTACGGCGGCTGCCACAGCAGCTTCCGCAGCGAACGAGACGGCCCTGCAAACGCTCCTCGCGGACATGCGTGGCAAGATCGGGGAGATCGTGGCCATAGCCGGCAATTCCGATCAAAATCTGACCAAGGTTAAGCTCCAGTATCAGAAGGCGCACAATGAGCTCAACGAGACGCATCAGTTCTTCGCCTCCATGCTGGACGAGCGCAAGACGGAGCTGCTGAAGGAGCTCGAGTCTCTCTATTCGGCCAAGAACAACAGCAACAATGCGTGGCTGCAGCGCTCACGGGATCTGATCGACAAGGGTCTGGCCACATGCGAGGCAGTGGAGCGCTCGCCCGCTCCACCCTCCGCTATGCTGGCGGAGGCCCTGCTGCTGCGCAAGTCCCTGGAGCAGCATCTGCAGACAGCCATCCAAGATATGCAGCTGCCCTTCGAGATGGAGTTCATGTCCAACTACCAATCGATCCAGGCCGGCGTACGCAACACTTTTGGCTACATCCGTGCCAGCAGCTCCGATGGCGGCCACGGCGCCGTCAGCCAGACCAGCAACAGTCACGGCAAGCAGCCGCCCATTGCTCGGCCCACACAGAGCGCTAGCAACAGCAGCGCCAGTAGCGCTGGCAGCCACAGTCACCATCAGTCGGGTGCCCATCAGCATCACCATCATCAACAGCTGCACCAGGCACAGCAGCAGCAGCAGCACCAGCTGCAGCAGACCCAATCCACGCTGCACGGCCTCGGCTTGGGCCTCAGCGGTGGGCTGCTCGAAAGCAGCTCCGTCGGTGGGGGAGCGTACACGAATGGCAGCAGCCTGCTGCTGAGTGGCCGGGAGCGCAACGCTCTGTCCGTGGAGCAGCACTTTGGCGAGCTTCTGCCCAAGCGGGGCGGCTACAGTGGCAGCAGCGGATCTGGATCGGGCGCCAGCACCGTGGCCCACTACAATCCATACGAAAAGTGGAGCAACGGAGGCAGCGACAATCTCTTCTCGTCTGTGGGTGCTGGCAGCGGTGCCAGCTCTGCCGTGGTGGACGCATTCGCCAGCCAGCTGTCCAGTCTTTCATCTGGTAACGGTGGTGTGGTGGGTGGTGGCAGTGCCGTGAGCTCAGAGTCCCTGCTGGATCTGACCAACAAGCTGCTCTCGGCCACCATCTACCCGCCCAAGTCGCAGATCAAGCGACAGAAAATGATTTACCACTGCAAGTTCGGAGAGTTTGGCGTGTTGGAGGGACAGTTCACGGAGCCCAGTGGCGTGGCGGTGAACGCACAGAACGACATCATTGTGGCTGACACCAACAACCATCGCATTCAGATCTTCGACAAGGAGGGACGCTTCAAGTTCCAGTTCGGGGAGTGCGGCAAGCGGGACTCGCAGCTGCTGTACCCCAACCGCGTGGCCGTGGTACGCAACTCTGGCGACATTATCGTGACGGAGCGATCGCCCACACACCAGATACAGATCTACAATCAATACGGACAGTTCGTGCGCAAGTTTGGAGCTACAATCCTGCAGCATCCGCGCGGCGTTACGGTGGACAACAAGGGACGGATCATCGTCGTGGAGTGCAAGGTGATGCGCGTCATCATATTCGATCAGAACGGCAATGTGCTGCACAAGTTTGGCTGCTCCAAGCACCTGGAGTTCCCCAACGGCGTGGTCGTCAACGACAAGCAGGAGATTTTCATCAGCGACAATCGGGCGCACTGCGTCAAGGTGTTCAACTATGAGGGCCAGTATCTGCGCCAGATTGGCGGTGAGGGCATCACCAACTACCCCATCGGCGTGGGCATCAACTCGAATGGCGAGATCCTCATCGCGGACAACCACAACAACTTTAACCTGACCATCTTCACGCAGGACGGGCAGCTGATATCGGCCCTCGAGTCGAAGGTGAAGCATGCCCAGTGCTTCGACGTGGCGCTCATGGACGATGGCAGCGTGGTGCTGGCCAGCAAGGACTATCGCCTGTACATCTATCGCTACGTGCAGCTGGCGCCCGTGGGTATGTAAACACTCGCTCGACACATCCACATCCGCAACCATAAACCGCAGTCACAAGCGGAAGAGGATCTGTGCCTGTGCGTCTCTCTCTCACACACACTCTCTCAGTAGTCTGACTTGCGCGGTCACTCTCCCCACCACTCTCTTACCTGCCACCTGTCTCCTTCTCAACTTTCCCATGTCCCATGACTCTACTCTCTCTCTGTCTATCTCTGTCTCTGTCTCTCAAATGCTAGGGTAGCGAGCATTAGGCCCGCTCCGCTCTGTATAACTCGCTCAGTAACTGTATAACACGCAAACGCACACTGTTGGAACGATTTTTATTACCTTTTAAATTATTGTTGAATTTTGTTTTATTTTTATATACATATATATTTACCACTGTTAAGCCTAGTTTTTACTTTTTGTGTGTATTTGTTTATGATATGTGTATGTCTTCATGTTCATGTTCAAGTCGGATCGTGTCCCCCTCCCCCTTCTATATCTACCCCTGCTCACCCACTGTCTCTCTCTCACGTGCGCAAGTCCGAACAGGATAAAAACAAAAAGAAAACAAGAGCAAACCGCAAAATAAGAATTTTTATATAAATAATAATAATACCAGAAGAAGTCCCTCCACTTTCTCATGTTCGTTGCAAAAACTATGGCAGAAGCAAGAGAAAAAATAGATTAAAAATAAAATTAAAAAAAAAGAATAAAAAATAAATTTAACGACGATCGATAGTCGAAGAAGAAGAAGGAAGGAGTCGAGTCGAGTAATATGTGACTGCGCATCGAGCGTAATTAATTGATAAATGATTGTAATTCTAGATGTATCACTGCGCAGATTGTTTGTTATTATTATTCTTTGATTGCATAAACATTTTATACATATTATATAATATTATACAACTGTTTTTATGTTTATAAATTATTTTTTGATTATACTATTACTGATTACTGATTATTTATGCAAAAAACCTATTGCTTAAGAAATGTTTGCTACCTTTATACGAAAACCACATGACCAACCATGAACCCCAACCGCGACACACAACTGAATTCATTTTTTATACTCGCCTAGCTTTACGTTTTATGTTTTACGTTTTATGTTTTTTATTCCATTGTTTTATTAAATCACAACACACAACAAATTATCTTAACCAATACCAGCCAACACAAATCTTTGCCGTTTCTTAATTTGAGAATTCACAAACTAAAAAAACTGACATCAAGTCAGTCTAAATCGTGCTCATAATTGTTGATCCTTTATTTATGAGAACAAATATGTATTACCCTTTACGAGGAACATTTGCTTATTTCCAGCCGCAATTTGCGCAATTTCGAATTAAATTAATCCGCAAGCTAGTGGCATTTTCGAAGCAACTTGACATAAATCAATTGTAAAGTAACAAATACATTTAACTGAAAGTGAAAGTTGGCAATCAGCGCAGAAGACTTAACATTAATAACTACTATAATTATACAACTAGGTATACAACACACATATGAATATGTGTCCCCCTATATACATAAATTGCAATACATACGATACGAGTATGTAGGCTAACACTTGAAGAATGAAACAAACGAAAATCTCAAATATTTTAATAATTATTAAAAAGAAAGTAAGAAAGAGGAGGAACGGAAAGGAAACAAAAACATTCATCAGCTTCGCTACGTTGTTACGTTACGTCATGTAACGTTATGTTACGTTACTTTACGTTTCGTTCGTTACCTTTCTTTACGTTACGTTACATTTTTGTTCTCTTTCGAGAGCCCGCCCAACAGTGTGTGACTCCTCCTTATGCTGGCGACACGCACTGTATCCATTTAAGGCATTTACTTTTGCTAACTAAAGTGTTCTCTAAGTGTTAGTTAAATAATCATTAATTAATTAGACGAGCAGGGGGGAATTATGTAAGGAACAGAACCTTTTGAGACTACAAACGCAACATTAACAGGAACAGCATTTAAAAAATGTTTATTTTGTAATTCTTAAAGTAATTAATCTCCCTTTATTTTTGTTGGTTCTGCTTAGAGTCCCTGTAGCCCAGAGCAGCCTCAAAAGATCCCGCCCCATGACACACACCCGACACACACACACACACACACACACACATAAGCAGGTATTAGACTTCTTGAATATAATGATTATGCATACCTTTGTATTACTTATTTAACTATGCTAGAGCTAGTGCTTTCGTTGTTTGTTTTGAAAAACACTTTTCTTAGTGTATTATTTTTTTTGGGTTTTTCTATGATTTATTTTTGTGTGTATTTATTAAGTGAGATTATTATTATTTACGAACAATATAATTTGTAGTTCTCTGTGTAACGAAGATGTAATGATGTATTGATGTATGTAGCTGTAACGACGACGATGCAATGATGATGCAACGGAGGGGCAAACGAAAGTATTGTACATTTTCTGTGTGAAAACAAAAAACCTTTTTACTTGACAACCAAAAAACAAAACCACAAAAAAAAACAAAAAACTAAAAAACTGTTGAAATTTTTTTATATACAAATTGTTAAATGAAAAACGAAAGAAAAAGAAAAGGAAAAACTGCTAATTGATGGTATTTATTATGGCCTAATGGGCCATCAACCTTACGTGGCTGATTTTGTAGTACTGTAAATGCGAATGCAAAAACTATTTAACTGTATTTATTAATTAGCAATTTGGATAGACAGGCATAGAGACCGATTCCGGCGAGGACTTTTATTTGTATTTTGTGCTTGCGTAAACTTGTTTTTATGTTTATCAATTATTATTATTCATTATTATTAGGTTTTTAAATGTTATGAAAAACAACCACACACCAACACACACACAAATACAAATACAAATACAATATAATTATAGTATTTAACCTTGGCTCTCTGCTCCACAAATTGTTGTAAAACGTTGTCTTCAAGAAGTACACACACACAATCCAACAAATGCCACAAACAAAAAATAAAAACAAAAATCGAGAAACATTAAAGATTTTATATTATATTCTGATACAAAAAAAAAACCCTAACTTGTGTTTGCTTTATTTAGTAGTTTTGATATGATTTTATTTATTTTTTAGTTGATTTTTATAGTTTGTTGTACACCTACACCCCTGCTGATGAGAGCCTCTCTTTCTGCTCTACCCTAACTCTAGTAGTGCTATAAAATATGTAAACCTCATATGGATATATATACATATTTATATATGATGAATGTATGTTGATAAAACATTTGATGAATTGAGAATCTAATAGACTGTGCAACAACAACAAAAGAAAACATAAGGAAAGCCGAAACAAAACATTTTTTTTAAATATAAATCTTTCTCTATATGCGAAAATTGGTCAAAAAACACACACACAGGAATCATATTTATGTACATATGTATACATATGTATATGTATGTATAAGCTAGATCGTGCAGCTATAGCACAGTGAGCTTTCAAAAAATAACTACATAAATACATATATGGTACAGTAATCTATGCAATTTTATTTCTGATCAATTCGAATCGATAAACGTTTTATACCGCCAACTAACTGTGCTCTACCCTAAATATACATATACACGAACATATATAAAGTGTCTCTACATACATACATATATGTAAACCGATTTATGTATATGTATACGTTAACATTACCTATATAGTATATGTAGTTGGCCATTTGTGATTAGTTTTTTGGGGAAAGGTCTCATATCTCCCGCCCCAAAAACAGGAGAAGAAAAAAAGAACAGAATGGGAATTCGAAAAGAAAAGTAAAGTAAAGTGAAAACACCACCAGTAGGAAATGAAGGGCAGGATCACCGATCTAGGAAGGAATATTTTGATTAGAGCTAAGTGTAAGTGTTGTTTTATGGCAATGGCATGCTAGTGTTGGAAATCACTAAAATATGTATGTACGAGGGAAATATGTATGTACCACTATTACGACTATTATTTTTGTGATTGTTAGGAGCTCTATATGAATGTTGAATGGAATCGAAGCTAAATCGAAATCAAAACCAGATCAGTACCCTCCCCCTGAGAACTGGTCGTCTCTCTCTGTCTTTTTTCGACTGCCAGGCACAAGTTATATGGATAACAAGAACCTAGGGGATAGGTTTATGTACTTATACTATGCAAGTACGTGTATCCATACACATGTACATATATATATATATATGTTTGTATGTCATATCTAAATCAGAAAAACAAAAGAAATCATTTTAATTGTAGTTTATATTTTTGATAAATGTTATTAAGGAAAATGAAACATAAATCAAAGGCATTCGTCGGGCGTTGTTGAGCATGTTTGTATGGAATTTAAATTTTGTATAAAAATTCTTGGGTATCGACCGACGTCAGAGCAGCAGCGAACTAATGAAAAGAAAACTAAAACCAAAAAGTAAATTGAAATTCAAACTGGCTTCGTAGAAGTGTTTTTAAATATTATTAGAGACTATATGCATAAAGGAACCACTCGAGAAATGCTTAAACACTATTTAGTATATAACAGATCTGTCTATCTAACAGAATAACCAATTGATTATATGCGTGTCTATGCTTGGGGCAGTCACGATCGATGTTCAAGGCAGCCCCAAACAGTTTTCTGTAAGTCCAATTTTAATTATAATAGTCCGTCAAAGTGTTTTAACAGAATATATGTAGGTAATACCATACAACATAAAACATACATTTATAAATATTCATAGATCATATATCAATTTATGTATGTTCAATATGCATTCATGAGTAGTGTCTGTTTGTAATATTGAAAAGAAAAGGATTGTTCTATCGCCTCCCTATCATTTATCTATTAATCTGTATGCAGATCTAGACATTACCCTCATTTGGCGATCATTTTCCACCACAATCCACAATCACAACATAAACATAATTGATAAAACACTAAAAAAACCAAAAGAAAACAAATAATTGACTATGACTGATTTTATACACGAATTGAAAACATTTACACAACAAATTATACACATATACATGCATATACATATATACATACATATATATATATATATATATATATATTTATAATGTTGCTACTATATAAAGAATCAAGAAAGTTGAAGTTGATGCCCGTACACGCGGGCCCTCTCCATCTGTAATACATTTACACTCTAGTAGGCTCCTTCTGCTACATAAATATATGTAAGCCGTAAGTTATAAACAGTATACATAATATATACATTATATATATCTAAAAAAAATTATGTGTGTGTTTAAAGGCTAAAAAACCAATTTAGTAGAGAACTTAACACTTTTTCAACACTCGAAAACAACAAAATCTTAGACTGCTTCGAAAACGTAAACGTAAACACTAAAAAATAAAAAAAAACAAAAAAAAACAACTCTTATGTGAAATAAAAATGAATATGAGACTCTTTTAGGGAATTTTTCTAAACCGATCTTTTCCGTTTCCGCTTTTCCACACTGCACTTGTTTAAACTACGGAAAGAAAAACTATGAAAAACTGATTTTACATAAAAAACTGATCTTTCACTCTCAACTGAATAGAATCCCTAGACTTGAACTCTAAACGCGCAAGACATCCACAACCACAAACCAAATATAAATATATAAAATGTATAAATATTTTCGCTAATTTTTCTAGCTGCAAAATACAATATTTATATACATATAACCGATAAATGTAGTGCGTATACACAAGGCATATTAACTGTTTGTTGTTAGCTGCTTATTCTTCCTATTGAAGACTAAAAAAATACCAAAATACCAAAAAAAAGAAAAACCATAAAACAATTCATATCCCAAGCATTTTTGTAATTTTTAAAAGCAAAGCAACGCATTTCAAAAATAATATAAAAACAATTGTTAGGAATTTAAGGCAAGAGTTAATGAAACTATAAATGAGAACCAAATGGGCAATGGAAAATGCAATAACTAAATAAGGGATTTCAAATGAAACAACAATTCATTTTTAATTTTTATTTATTTATGATGATTTTCAAGGTGGAAAACACAGGAATCCCATAAGAGACTGTGCGTAGAATTGAATTTATGTTTCCAATTCGTTGGTTTAGTTTCCGTTTTGTTGTTAGACCATTGACTTTAATTTTTGTACCCCATTTGTTTTTTTGCAGTGTTGCACAGCAAAAACCACGACATCATCAGCACCCAAAGCTTGGCAGACAGAATACAGCATTTCATTTGAATAGAGGAGAAATCTATCTAACTCTATGTATATTATTATAAAGCATTCCCCCATTTTCCTTTTTGCTATGTTGAATTTCTTGTTTGAGAAAGGAGATCCGATCCACATATGTAATGAAGGAAAGGATTACATTACACGCATTGGACACATTTCGTTATGCAATTAATTTAAATCAATTTCGGGACTCAAAAAGTATTTCCAATTAGTGTAAATGAGTCTCTACGGTCGAACCGCACACACACACACACACACACACAGTCACACAGAGGAGGATAAAAACACACATAAGATGCATAAATGTTAGCTCATTTAATCATAGTCACACGCATACGCATTCGAGATAGATTTCTAGTGTTACAAATAGCTATCTATATAGTGCAACTACGCCGATCATGGAACCATCATCTAGTCATCATGCATACACATTTACATACATACACACATACCATATATGTATATGTATTTTTATAATTATTATATTATTAATATTAATCAATAATAAGTGTGAACGAAAAAAAACTAAACCAAAAATATGAAACGAAAATAGAGAACACCAATCTAATGTTAAATGTCGTTACAATTAAGTTTTCTTTATATACAAAATACATATATGTACATACATACATACCTACATATGTGTGTAATTATGTTTTAGCTAACGTTTATATATTTTTTGACTAAGAATTAGTTTTTGATACGTACAATATATATGTATTCCCCCCTTGAACGCAATTTGAATTTGAATTTAAAAGTCTCTGCTAAGCCAAGTTGAATTTGAAAGTGGAACTAAAATATAAAACAAAAACCAAGAGAATACAGGGTGTTGCTTAAATTCGCTTTTACATACATATATACCATAAACATAGACATAAACATGAACAAATATTATTAATGGATAAACCAAAACCAAAACCAAAACTTTTTATACTCTGAACTATATAAAGAAATATTTGTTTTCCCTGTGGTTAATTGTTTTCACAAATCGTTCAGTTGAAACTCGTAGATTTCGCTCAAATTTTTGTTTTAAACTTAAGAAAATACAAGCAACAAAATATAAGAAACAAAAAACATGTTAAAGGAAAGGATAAGAATGTGGAAAATATGGACTGACATGCAAATAATGTATATCATTGAGGGTTGGCATTTTTAATCATATATGCATAATTATATATATATTATATAAAATAGAGAGACTTTGTCAGGCGCCATTCTCAGCTGTTTCGAAAGAGGAAATTGTTACATTTTTGTGTTGAAAGAAATGAAAAAAAAATATGAAAAAAAAGAAAAGAAGAAAACGATATACACGCCCACCAAATGCATACTATATGCTATATACTGTTTCTAATATGGCTACAAAGATTTAACCTCATACATACAGAATTATGTAGATGGTTCATGTTTGTACTGACACACTCAAACCTACTTACTGCCAGGATCAGCTCAGACCCTCCTCAAATAACCCACTCACTCACTCACTCATTGAATCATTCAGTCAGTCAGTCAGTCAGTCAGTCAGTCAATTTTGTACAGGATCCATCCTACCAACTCAAAACCAAGCACAGTTTTAAGAACTCTCTCAAGACGAAGCATTTAAATTGATCAACTTTCTATTTTTCGATAACCACAAAGCTGTTTTGTTTTTGTAATCCACTAGATTTGAAGTCGAATTCGAAAAGAACAGAAAAAACCAAAGTAAAGTGTATTGTAATCATTAATCGTAACTAAATCGAATACGATGTAATTGAATGTGAACGTTATAAACTCATTAACTATTATTATTACTACGATTCCAACTGTATTGTATGCGCATTTGATAAACAAAAGGCAAAACAAGTCAAACAAAAGATTAAAACTCATTAATGTAATGTGTAAGTAAAGCAAAGAGCAACAAATACTTGCAGTAAATTATATATAAATATTTTTATACACATGGAAAAGTAAAAACGAAATCATCATTATAATATTATCTGAAATGCTGCAAACTTGCTAGAGCTAGTTCTGGAAGAGACTAAACTCTATTCTATGAATTTTATATATATTATGAATACTGATTATGAATAGTAGGTACTCGAGAATACCAACAACAACAACAACAACAACAGGAAGAAGCATCGAAAAAAAACTTGCATCTTAATTCGAGTATTCATAAAATAAAAAATAAAAAAGAGAACGATGAAAAAAGTCTTTTAATGCTTAGGGGCCACAATTTTCGAAGTAATTAAAAAACAAATAAGAAAAACCAAAAAAAAAAAAAAAAACGAAACATGAAATTATTATTATATTAATGTACGGTATTAATTAACATTTAAAAAATGTTGTGTGTATCAGTAATAATAAACCAAACAAGCAACAAAAACCCAACAACCACAATTGTATTATTGTAAGAATTTATATTTCCATCAAAACACAATAAAATTATTTTGTTTTTAAATACAATACAAATCGAATTTACACTTTTCTTGGAAGCGGAAGGTTTCACAGGGTCTTCGGGGTCGATCTCATATATAAAAACTCCAAGTATTAATCTTCAATTTAAAAATATCCATAAGACCAGCTATCAATTGATCTCATCCTGATTAGCTGAGGTCCTAATTTAAAATTATTTAATGGAAGATTGGGAAATAAATACAATATTTGGAGTATTGACATTTGGAGTCTACTAGCACCGAAAACAAGGCATCTAGTAATCCCAAAGTCATCAATGATTGTTCTGTTATTTGCTTTCGATGTGCATTTATCATTCATAGTTCCAAATTCAACCTGCTAACATATAGAAAATAATTGAAAAAATTTACATTATTATTTTGTTAGTTGTGTTCTGAGTTCACTAGCCAGCCCCAAACCGTTGAAAATTAGCAAATAAATTTTAGCTTTTTAGACGGCAACCCCTTAAACATCCGTGAGTATACTCAGTCTGAAGTTGCTGATTATTTGTTGTTAAAAAACGGATTTCTTCTTCAGAACATGTGCTGTGGACCTGCTTCATGCTGCCCGAACTGCGGTCCACCTTGTGGCGGTCCCTACTCTACGCCATGTTGCGTGGAGCTCTGCTGTTCGCCCTGCACTCCAGCCTACTTGCAGTGCACCTTCTGTCCGTGCCATCCACGATGCTGCTAGCACAGGGGACGAACAGGATAAGGAGTTAGCTGAGGAGATTACTGATCACAATTAACAAAAAGATAATGTAAAAAAAAAAAAACATTAAATGTAACAGAAATGAGATAATGGGATGTTCATTTGTACATTTGGAATTGCTTTAGTTTCAATTTGCTCTTCGGGTTATAATACATTATCATAATCACAATTGTTCAGATCAGAAGGAAACGTTACCGACTCCAAAAAGTATTTTAAATCAGCATCAAGAGCCGAGTCTATGTCTGCTTCACTTCCCCCTAAACTTCTCCAACATTAGCAGCCTTTATAAAAAAGTTGCAGCGCCGCTTCACGGAGGAGGCTCGATTAATTCTCAGTGCATTCAGAGGGATTATAAAAATATAAAATACTATTTTTGTTGGTTTTTATTCACGGATGATTTTGTATGTTATTTCCTAATTTCGGGCACATCTTGCAGCGTTGCTAGCAACAACCTCGTGGACCACCGCAGCAGCCGCGATAGAGCGGACAGCAGGGCGTGTAGCCAGTGCGACAGCTGGGAACGCTCGCCGTGCCGGTCCAGCAGTTGAAGCAGAAATTGGTGCACTGAATGCTGGCGGGCAGGCCGCAGCAGCCACCGGGATTGCAGCACATCTCGATGAACGATGAAGCTAATTAGCTAAAAAGCAGGAACCAGGAGATAGACGATTGTTTGTAAGTTCCGACAGAGAGCGCAAGTGTTCTGTAAAAGATTAAAAGAATGTTCATTAATTCTAAATACAATTTTCTCTTAACAACTTACCACAAAAAAATATTAGTCCAAACGATGTTAGTTATTGGAAAATGTAATGTTTTTTTTTTGTATTGTGTTCACAACGAGGCTCAAAGTCGGAATGAACTTCCAGCCGATGGTCCGTAGCTTGTAAACATTGACATCGACTCGGGGCCTACTATGTATACTAAAAAAATGAGTTCCAAATAAAGTTGAAAGCCTGTTGCTTGACAGTCCGTGGGGGTGCGTCATTCAGCCAATCTAGCAACATGGTCCATAGCATCCGCCATACAAACTAGGCGGATGGGTGGTCACGCAGCAAGGACCACAACAGTCCGATCGGAAGCAGCAGTAGCTGCAGTCGATAAGGCAGCACTGCACGCACGGCGTGCACCGATAATAGCGACTTGGGCAGCACATGGTGGCTCTGGAGGTGTGACGCGGATCGGGCTATCGCTCTGATAAAAATTCACAATAGCCTAACGAGCCTATGGGAACTAATTGTGATTGATGTAAAATATCCCTCGACAAGTTTTCAGCCTTTACTCTCCCACTCACCTGTGAAAGTATTTTCGAATCAGCTAAACAACGCACCCACCTGATCGGATTGAAATTAGCAAGCAACTGAACTCATTCTATCGAACAGACATTTTCTGGTAAGTGCAAAGGCAAAGCCTGTTCAGGGTCAACACAAAAAGATTGTCAAACGGATTCAAATCCTGGACAAGCTTAACACTCTAAGAAATAAAAGTCCCTTTCTATCAATCAAATGTATGAAGCTTACGAGTAAGCTGAAATTCCCCACTGGGCCTGAGGCTCGAAGGTCGAGACACCTGACTGACTGGGTACAGAACACGCCGGGCAGCAGGGTGTCGGGCAGAGTCTCTGTTTACATGTCGTAGCTCTGTTTTTGGTCTCTCATGCAACATCTTGGAAGATGTACCGGTTATAAAAGTTGTGACGCGTTCAAAAGCGTCTCACAACGTGCCTTCTCGTTGGATTGTGATCCGATTGTTGACATTGCATAGCCTATTGTAGAATATTTAGGTATATGTAATTCATAGGGTCCGCCCCTTTTCAATTTTATAAAATAACTTTAACAGCTTAATCTTAATTTCACAATTCAAGCTTTTGCCTTTGGGTCTACACGTGGACTCCACTGGCGATAGTCGAACTGCGTGGCAGCCTCATATTCCTGCACCAGACAGTCGACAGTCTCGCGGGCCAAGTCCAGCTCAGTGAGATCCTCCTTGAACATGTCTTCGCGTCGGAAATTATCCAAAAAGGCATTGCGCTTCTTTAGCTTGTCATACTGAGCCAGGGCGCGATTAAAGAGTGCGCTAATGCCCGTATGATTGGCCATCATCAGGCCAGAGACCTTGTGAGCGGTCTGCACATAGGGAGAGCTGCGTGATAATGCAACCTGAATGCTGGCCGGTCCCCAGGGTATGAACTGGGCCAGCTTACGTTCCCTTATACGCTGCAGGGACTTGTGCACCTGCGTGGGATCCACTTCGCCCTGTATGATGTTCAAAATGGAGATAAAACAGTGACGATTCTGCTTGTCAGCCGTTGAGGAGACCATCATATTCTTGGGCTGCAGCAGACGCCGCATCACGTCCAACACAGTGGTTCTGCGCACATTCGCCTTGGTCTGGAAGCCAACCAAACATGATTTTGGGTTTTGGTTTGGATGAAAGCTCAACTCACCTCATAGTCCGTGATGAGCGGTGTGTAGCCGGTCATGAGGAAATGCAGCTGGGGCGTGGGTATGAGCGGTGCAATCAGACCAATCAGATTGTTGTTCATGTACGAGGGATACCTCAAGGTGGTCGTGCTCACACTCATGATGGTGGACACCAAATTGTTGATCTGCGTGAATGTCGGCGTCTGAATGTGCAGCCGCTCTGTGGCTATGCGATTCAGGGCTGTGTTGTCCAGCACCACAACACTATCGGCGCATTTCGTCAGCCGCTTCAGTGTGAGTATCGAATTGTAGGGCTGCACGACCACATCGCTGATCTCATCTTGATTGGGGAACACGCTGTATGTCTGTATGAGTTTCTTGGGGAAGCGATCGGAGAGGCGCTCGAGCACGTATGAGCCCATGCCAGAGCCCGTGCCACCGGCAATGGAGTGACACAGCACAAAACCCTCAAGCGAATCGCTGCCATCCGCCTCACGGTCGAGTATATCGAAGACTTCCTCTTGCACGCGCTCTCCCTGGCTAAAACCCGATGCCCAGTTGTTGCCTGCGCCGCCGCCATGCTTCGACAGAAACACATTCTCCGGATTGTAAAGCTGTGCCCGAAAAGAAGCACCGAATCATGCCTTGAATCAAGCCAAAAGCCACTCGACTCACCTTGGCATATGGCGAGGTCATAATGCTCTGGATGACACGCGGCTCCAGGTCGATTAGAACAGCGCGTGGTATGTAATGATTGTCGTCTGCCTGGTAGAAGAACACATCCTTTCGGTCCTGGCCGTCGGCTGCAAAGTCCTCGAGCACTCCATCTGGAGATATGCCGTGCTCTAGGCACAATCTCTTCCAGAACTCAAAACCAACTTGAAACGAAAATTAGCAACCGAAATTACAAGTTGAAGAGCTTTTGCTCACTTTGATTGCCGCACTGGCCCAATTGTAGTGTAATTATTTCACTCGGCATCTTCAAAGTTTTACTTTATTTTTTTTATCTATGCGCAAAAAAAACATGTTCAAAATAACTGTTCTTGCTGTGATAGGGTTGCATTTGATTTATCGAATATATTTTTTTGATAATGCCTTTTTTGATGCTCAACGGACTTTTCAGAACTCAGAAACTAATTAAAGTAGCATTTAATAATGCATTATTTATTTAATTTAATCGTGGGAAAAACTTACTCATTTCTTTCACCGGATTTTACCAATATTGTGTGGTATTTTTTTTGCGCTCAGCTTACGGTCCCACCGCTGGGCGCGAAAACAGCTGTTAAAATTGATTTTTTTTCCTATTCGGTCTGCCCATAAAACAAATGAAAAGATTTTAAATAAAAATCACAATGTTGCGTCAGGAGAACTTGGCCGCCAACTTCTGCGGTCTGCTGGCCAGCCAGGGGCACACAGGCAAGTAGATTTGATTCGATTTAAATGATATTCTGTTGCTATTTAAATATTAAAGCAGAAAAGGCGAACGAATGGAGAATTTTAGGACAGGAGCAGGACGGCTCACTGTTGACATCCTGGATATTTGACTATTTGGACGATGAACAGAGACGTGAGACGTGCATTGGACATTTCCTTGCGACTAAAAAGCAGCTGCGCCTGTTGTGGACCATGCCCTGCTGCGAGGTCATCCAGGCGAGCATCAACAGCAGCGTGACGCTCCTGTCGTATGTGGTCAAGACTGAGGGAATGTTCTATCAGGCGTTCGTTGTGGAAGTGCGCAGCACTGAAGTCGGCACACCCACACCACTGAACGTGGAGCCCTCGCCGCGCCAGATAATGACGCAATTTCTGTGGCGTGTGGAGGGCGCACAGCGCACCTGCTGGCAGGACAAGCTGTTGGTGCTCACCCACGAAGAATGTGAGTAGTTGTGGGACGAACTCCAGCCAGCAGCTAATCACATTCTCCACTTGCAGCCATCAAGCAGTACAATTGCATTGTCAAGCAAAGCTCGACCCCAACGCAGCCGGAAGGCAGCGCCTGGCGTTTGGACACCAGTATATTGACACAGGAAACGTTGGCCAAGAACTTTAGCTGGGCTCAGTGGGATGCAGAGTGTCAGGCCCTCTATTATATACACCTCAAACCAAAGGCCAAGAGTCTCAGTTTGATGGACGAACGGGAGGAAACGGGCGAGCAAGCAGCTCCGACGCTGAGTCCAACGCTGTCCGCTTTTCAGTTTAACGAGAAACAACCAACGGAAACGGTGGTAGGTAGTCCAGCTAACCAACTTAAAGAATAAGGGATACATTCGCATTCCTCTTCTAGCTAAATATACCCCTAAATCTGCCAAAGCTGCCAACGGGCTCCAACGCGGACTCAAGCGATTCCATGCCCAACTATGACGACGATGCAGTGCCCCTGCGCGTGCACGATAGCACGTTGAACTTAATCATTCTGGCGGACAGCTCGGGCATGTTCTTTGTCTGTCATTATTACCTCTACCAGCCCATGCAGACGGAGCAGCAGGAGGTGCACTTTGCCTACTCGGTGACCCTCTTGCATCATGGTTGTGTGGTGCACTGCGTCATGCCTGGCGTGCCCTGGCAGAAGGCACGCTTGTTGCGGCCCACGTTTAGCCTGCACGGCCAGCATCACTTGCTCGTTTCCTCGGCCTTCTTTGTGCACCTGCTGGATGTAGGACTGCAGCACGAGCCCATCTGTCACATCGTTTGTGCGGCGCACAATCGGGGGCCGGATCTTACGCAGTTGGTGCCGCTGAGGAAGTGGGGCACCTTGGCCTATGACACAGCCACACTGGATTTGGTTTCGCTGACTGTGCCCAGATCGCATCTCATTGAGGCGTTCCGAAATGACAGCTCCCTGGACAATCGCATCAGCATCATTCATTACTTTCTGCTGCATTCCAATGATTTGGATGTGCTCGCGGAGCTGCTGAATACCATTTTGGAACGTCCTCTGTCCCTCGATACGGTGGCCCTGCTGAAGGAGGCTCTCGTGGCGGGCAGCTATGCTGCTGCAGTGCGAGGTTTGCCCGAAGATGCCAAGCCGCTGATGAGACTCTTACCGCTGTCCACGGCTGTGGCTTCGCGACCCATCCACGCCCGTGTGGCTGACATCAATGTGGGACTGTCGCACGAGACGCTGCACAACACGAGCATGATGCTGCTGTCGCCGCAGCAGCGACTGTCGCCCTATCGCACGGATATTTGGACACGTCTGTGGGATCTGCTGAACGAGTCAGCCAAGCAGGAGCAGCCGCGATTCAGCGCGGAGCAGGTGACAGAGAAGTTGATCTTCAGTTTGGCATGCTATCAGCCAGAGGCTTTGTCCCGCTCAACCACACCAATGACGCCGGATACGGGCACGGGCACGGGCACGGGCGGCGGTGGCTTCGGGGACTACAGCAGCAGCAGCGCCTTTCCGTTCAGCAACGAAGTGCTGCCCTTCATAGAGCTGGAGGGTTGCACAGCCAGCAAGCAGGAGCATGTCATATCTGTGGTAAGCAAAGGGACTCTCTTTATCCATTTGCCTTTTCTCTGATTACATTTTCTTTTAGTATTTACGCGAGCTAAGCGTTCACTTGGTTAAGCATTCATCGAAGCCGCAGACAGGTTTTCGCTGGCTCAAGGAAACCTTCTTTGAGCGTTCGCAGGCTCCGGCTCATGTCCATGCTGTTGCCTCGCAGTTTGTCTCCTCACAGCTGGAGCTTTCCCGGGCACTCTGCTCTTTGGTGTGCCGCGCCACTGGCCTGGATGCACGTCTGGAGACTTTGCGTGGCTTTCAACTGATGTGAGTGAGGGAAATGCGCGACTTTGTCAATGGTTGTGACGGGAATTTTGTTTTTTTTTTGCAGTGACAAAATGCCTGGCAGTCAGCAGCATTCGCTGTTTCTCATACTGGAGCGTTATTGTCTGGCCGTGGAATCGATTGCCTTTCCCCTGCCCGAGGGCTTCTCCTCGTTCTTCACCTATCTGGGCTATCGAGCCTTGGACTTTGACATGTTCCTGCAGTATGTGGAAAATCACGTCTTTGAGCTGCAAGTGGATGTCATGAAGAGTATTGTCTATGGTGGGGATTACCTCCTAGTATTCATTGGGATTTCCTTCACTTACTGCCCCTTCCCTTTTGCAGATATCGAAGACTCGCCGCTGGGCATCGAGAGAAAGCTTTTGCTGCTCACAGCCCTGCCCAAGCAGCGCGCACAGCGGCTGCTAAAATGCTGGCAGCATCCGGACAGCCTCATGATCCGTGGTCGAGAGCATGCAGCCAATATCCTCTCGGGACAGCAGCAGGAAGCGCCGCACCAGCAGCGACCATCTGCCTGTGCCAATCAGTTGCGGTCCAATGCAAGGAGCGGTGAGATTTTCCACTCAGTTTTCCTACATATTTTTAGTTTCAATTTCATTTTGCACGCTCGGTTCAGCTTTGGGCAAGCCTCTCACTGTGGTTTGCCATTCGCTTGTTTTGGTTTTTCTGCTTATAATTTTAACCACGGTCGTCCTGAGCATTTCTAGCTTTGTGTTCAGGCAACGGCCACGCATTTGGTAGCTGTTTCCCATCTCAAATCATCGTTGACTGGTAAGCGATGACCGCGCCCATCAATCATTCATCAAATTTCGTGTCTCGTGCCAGTCCTCTCTGTCCTGTCATGTCTTTTTTGTTGCTTTTGTTTATGTTTCATGTTGTAGTTTATGCATATTTAACTCGTTGAACACTTTTATTTCAGATCTAAGTGCCGAAACTTTGTCACCTTTGGACTCTTTTCTCGATTTGCTGACGGCGAAGGCGAGTCTAAACGAATTGGACTACAACTTGCTCATCGAAACAACCCTAAGCTCCATGGATCAGCTGAAAATCGAGGAATAAAATATAAAGCCAAAGTATTGTGTCAAAATAATCAAGTATTCGGGTTGGAAAACCCTTTGAGTGTGTACCACGAGTAGAGTCTAAGCTGGAACCCAGCCTTGTTGCTTTTTTGTGTTTAATTTTATTTCAATGGTTCCTATTGTCAGCATATGTATAAAGGCTTACATACATTCCATATTTATGTAGTAATGATCTCTCTGTAGCTAATCTAATAGTCCAACATTTGTACTTAATTATTCGTATTCGTACCATAAATATAATGCATAGGATAATGATTAAACGCGATCAAAACTCCATGTGGATCAGACGTTAAGTAAACGAGATGCTGCCACCTACTTAAATAAATAAAATAAGCTAAAAAAGGATGGATGGGGAGCCACGCGACACAAGTTCCACCCACTCTAGTTTTGATCAATTGCACACAAAAGGAATATTTATCACTAAAAATAATGCAAATAATGAACTACACTGATCTTTATAAGCAATTAATAAAATATTTAAATAAAGGAATTAGCGTTTTTTTAGCGTTTCAGATTGCCAGCGAAGTTCATAAAATTTCCGACCAATACATAACTAAAATTCCCCTTGTGGCTCTACGCCGGTTTCGTATTATCGCATCGCTTGGTAGTTATTATTGCATATGACAAATGATGCACAAATAAAACCGCCTTATTCAAATATTAATATGGAATCCATTTTTCAATATAAATACCGACTTTTTGCAGTCCTTGTGCACTTTTTGAAATTTAAATAGCAAAACTTGGTATATGTTGGTATTTGGCTGTTAAATTAGAATTGCACTGTCAAGTTTTGCTGTTCTGTTAAGTATTAAAACTGTTATACCCGCAGCAAATGTTCTCAAGCATGATGCGTATACCAATTGCTGCTTGTAAATGTTGACAAACATGATTTGTTTCCGCAGCATGTTCGAATAAGAATGTTTGGAGCTCGATACAATGCAGAATACCCTTGAGAAAAAGTAATTCATTTCACAAATAAACCAGATTCTATGCAGTTCCATTATGCCCTTCTTAAAATACAACATGCTGCAGCATTTAATTGTAGGATGCCCAGCAGCTATACTGCTGTACTCCACCTCGTGTTGCGAACACTTGTGACGTCTCAGGATTCAAGCAACATGCCAGCAACATGCGCGCTCAATTCGAAAGAAACTCGTGAACTTAAACATTAAATACAATACCGCAAAAATGAGCAAACCGCTCTATGCTGAAAAATCCTCCAAACATGTGTATAAGGTGCCAACGAACTCAGCTCAACAATGCAACGCAAAAATGAGCACGAACATGTCCTGCACTCGAACTCGCATATGAGACGCAAAAATGAGGAGAGAGTTGAAAGTTGAATGAAATTCGCAGGGTGTATTTACCTTGCAAGCCTGAAATTTTTTAAACGTATTTACCCATTGTCGACACCTTATTTTCCATCCTCTATTTCCGTCCCTTCCCCATGTTAATGGAATATGTTTGTATGGCGAAGGGAAACCTGATAAAACCGAAGCAGCGTCGTGCGCGTGCATTCAATTTCAAATCGTCGTCGAGTTTACCGTATCGTATCGTATTTGATGAAATCCAAAATAATTGTTGGTACAAATTTGAACGGACAATCGACAAGGAAACAACGTAGTGTCGGACAGAAGTTTCTTTTCCCACAATAATCTCGAAAATTATTGCAAAAAATAAATAAATTTAAAGACAACAAAATTAAAGATATAAATAAATAACATAAGTCTCTGGCTTGGCAACAAGTCGGGGATAATTTGAAATAATTACATTTTGATACGTCGAGCAGGGTCACCGGTGCGCGCAAGGAAAATTCGTCGCGGAAAAGCCAGCGCGCGGATTGAAGTCGGTGACTTTCACGGGCGACTATAGATTCGAGTTCTGTGTTGAAATGCACTGACAAATAATTCCATTTGTCATCCGACAACTCAATTAAAGTTTAAACAAGTGCAGCGAAAGTTTAAGTTTTTGCCCGTGCCACAAGTGCTGCCAAGTAAAAGTAAAACCAAAAAACAGAACCAAGAAAACTCTGTAAAGGCATTTAATAAATTAAACAATTGAAAGCGTTGAAAGCAAAGTGTTGAGTCAACCCACCGAAATGGCCGGCATCCAGAGCAATGTCTTCGCTATTGGATTACTTTATCTGCTGAGCGGCGTTCAGGGCCATCTAAACATCTTTCTGAATCTGCACGAGGTGCTGCGGCTAATCGGTGAGTTATCCAAAAGAATCGCAAAAGAAGTGCGACTCCAACTGCAGGGTCTGGGGCTGCCAATCGATTATCAATTAAGTGGGAGAGGCCGCTAACCCAAGGGCAGGGCCCAATGTATGCCGCATATTCTGTATATTTTCTGTACATATTTCTCTGTCGGAAATTGTTCGCATAGAACTCAGTGGCATAGAAATAGACTACGATTGGTTCTGACTAGTATTTATGCAGAAAGCTTAAGTATCCTCACACTTAGCCGGCACAAAAACCAAGCCATTCCCATTCCACAATTCCCCTTTGCCCACTCCCACCCGCTTATCTTCTCCAAATACTCGCTGCCAAAAAATGTCACACCGAGAGCAATAAAAGTGAGAAAAATTGTTTTACAATGTGTCGCAGGGCCCCACAAAGAATTTACAGCACAGCCCAGTTCGTGCGGCATAAAAAATAAATCAGTAGCAGGAAAGGGTTTGGGTTTGGGTTTGGGTTTGGGAATGCAATCGTAAAACACATGCAAAGTGTTCGTTTGCTCTGGAGATGTTTGCGTGGAGATAGGGAAGCATTATCAAAAATTATGTTGTAAAATTTACAACACTCGCTGGCTGCAGGCTGCTCGTGCAAACAGACCAAACAGCGTGATTGATGGCCACAGCAACAGGAGCACAGCTCCCTTCACTCTTCAATGACTGAGTAAATATTGGATCGAGTGCAACTCCAATAGAGGGGCTGGGCTGGGATGGGCTGCGAGGGCTAATCAGTTGGTTATCTGGGCGGTTATCAGCACAGCCACTCGTCGTAATTCATGTAGTGCCAGCGCTGTCAGGGCTGGGCTCTGGGCCTAACACCTATCACCTATTACAGGCGGAGCGCCAGGCCAGGCAGACAATCAATCAGTGGCGCTGTTGAGAGATGTTGCCCTGCACTTGACGCCCCCAAGAAATTTATTAGTTGTGTCAAACGAAATCAAAATTTAAACCCATTAAGCAGTGGCCAGAGGGGTTCTTCGGCTTGGCTTTTGGTTGGGTTTTTGGGTTTACGGATTGGGGTTGGCTTTGGCTTTGGGCTGGGGGGGGGTGGGCAGAGACGAACCTCTCCAATTATTCAGCGGTTGACAGCGGGTTGCAAGCCTGACCTACTTCTGGCACTCTCTTTCGCCTCCCTATGTGTACACATATGTATGTGCATATAGCTAGGTGTCACTGCTATTTTTTATTTTATTTTATTTCTGTCAGCGGTGGCTTCAGAAGCCTTTGTGTGGAGTGCACATCAATTAAATTGTCAACCCCAACAGCAAAAAAGCGGAGGAGCTGCAGGCCAAGAGCAGAGTTTTGCTGCCGCTGCAGGGAGGGGGCTGGTTGGGGGGGCATGGCATTCACATTCACCGTTCGTTAGGTTAAATCCATCTGCCCCAAAAAGCAACGCCCCGCTGACTGAGTAAAGTGCGCTCAAATTGCTCCGCTCTATGTAAACCATGTCATCAGGTGTGGATCGCACAACGGACAGCGTGTAACGGACAGCGGACAGTGGGTTCTCTGCTCGTTAGCGAAATGAGAGCGGATATGTAAAAGTCGATCCGGTTGATGGATTTCGTTGCGGTGGCAGCGACTGCCCAGAAGGACTCAACATAATGAAGGCCTGGCAAGGATAAAGGCGGATAAAGGAGGTCACATGTTGTTAGAGCGGACATTTGTATACAAAAATGTCATCTCTAACTAGAATGAGGACACTGAGGGCCTTCCTTTCAGCTCAAATAAACATTTGGCATGTTTAACAGATAATTTTCACCCATTTAAAACCAATAAATAAATCATTTATAATTTGAAACATTACCGCAACACTTTTCCTCAGCCTTTGTCACCCAAAAATTGCCATCGTCTGGCAAAACTTTGAGCAACTTTGCGAGTCCCTGCCAGCTGTCTGCACATCCACGCTGGCATTTACAACACATCCTGGCATCGACAATTGCCAGTCACGTTTCGGTTCGGGTTCTGTCTATCAACACTTGCTAATCCCCATGCGCTCTCTAAACGATTTGACATTTTGCACTGGGCCAAAAAGATTCATCATGGAGCTTCATGCAGTGTTTCCACTGCTTAAAATCCTTGTGGCAGCTTCTTGTCGACTCACGCTTAGCTAATAAAACCAAAGAGCATTTGGCTAAAAATACAAAACATATTTTGGCAAGTAATGTGAACTCAATTAGCAAACAGCGTCATCATCATCATCCCAAGACCTTAAAGCCTCCACGTGGGAGCAGGCAGACGGAGCACTTCCAGAGAGAATAATTAATATTAGAATCGAATTGGAGAAGCCATTGAGACTCCCTGCTAGATGTGATTGTACATAAACAACTCTGGCACAACCCGCACAGCTGCCTGGCTGCCTGGCTGCGTAATTGGCAAATGCACAACTCTGAGGCAAGGATTAGTGGGAGGGACAACAGCAAGGACGATGACGCAGCCAGCGGCAACAGCATTTGCTACATTTTGTTGTTGAATCTCAGCTGCCACTTAAATCCTGCCGCGAATGCAACACACGTGTCCGCCTTCATCACTCTCCAGTGCTGCAAGTCATTGGCTCTTTAGAGGCATTCACTTTACACTCCCCGCCCCGAACGTTGCATAAGCATGGGCCAACGCACTCGACAGTAATAACAACAGCTACGAAGGCATGGATAAAAATTGGTTATGGTTGGGTGGCCACGCCCCGTTACTGACTCCTCCTGACACTCGCGCTTAATTGAATCACTAAATGATTAGCGAAAGTGGAGCCGTGGCGTGTGACAATAATAGACACAAAAAAACACAAAACAAAAACACAAACAGCTCGACAGCTTTACCAACAAGTTTTCACATGTTCAAATGTGTTTATGTAACTGACACACGGACACTTGTTCAGAGGAATTCAATTCAATAATAAGCAATGCAATAAGTGACTTGTTAGATATTGGATTATGATCTTTAACTTAATCGAAAGAAACCTAATTTTAGAAGTTAATTTCTAAAAATATCCCACAGTGAAAGCTGTGGATGGCTTTATCTAGCACACACTTTGGGGCACTTTTTGGAACACTTTAAGCTTCCTAGCTGTCAATAAAAAATGAATTAAATAAGAATTAAACTATCTGTAATTGCTTTACGGACAGGCCGTTTCGCCTGACTTTCAATTAAACTAAATTTATTTAAATTAAAATCATATTTCACATTCCAATTAAGCTGAGCACGC